CAGAAACACCCCCCCATATTTGTGTGTGGTCTTTATGAAGAGATTTATTACAGGAATTAATTCACGTGATTACAGAGGCTGAGAAATCTCAGTCTGCTGTCTGCAAACTGGAAACTCGGGAAAGTCAGTGTCCTAGTAGTCAGGCAGATCAAGAGTAGAAATCTTGCTTCCATCTTTTATTCAGGTCCTCAGTAGGTAGGAGCTCTCCCTTTATTGGGAGGGGCAATCTGCTTTGCATCCTGATGCTAATTTTTCTGGAAATACTCTCCCAGAGACACAAAGGAATAATATTTAGACAAATATCAGCACCTAATCACCCAGTGAAGTACACACACACACACACACACACACACACACACACTGAGAGAGGGAGGAAAGAAAGAAGGGAGAGAGAGAGAGAGAGAGAGAGAGAGAGAGAATGGGTTTTCTCCTAGGCCCTAGAATAGAACTACAGAGGCTAAGTCCAGAACAGAGGTATTGAAAGGGAAAGGAATTAGAACTCGCTGGCCTTTCTCAGTCCAGAATATTCTTGAGAAGGCATTTACTTACATCTCATTTCATAAGTTGATATGTTGTGCATTGGGTTTTTGAAGAGGGTACAGGGAGCAAATGTCTTCATGGGTGAAGAATGGGGTATGCACAGTATATGAATGTTTGGAGGATGTCTCCTGTGTTACCTTTGTGGTTGTGTTTGTAATAAATCCCACTTAGTCAATTATTAGTTTTACTGTCCATAAGGACCACAGCATGTGGCAGGGAAAAATCAAGGCTGGGAACTGACTGGGAGCATGGAGTTGGGGTGGGCCCTCGGAGCTCCCAGCTGCATAGAGAGGAGGCTCTGCCTGGGTGTGCAGTTCTCTCCACCCCAGTTGCTTCTTTTGATTCCTCTACCTTTAGGTGATCCTAGAGACAGGCAGAACTGGGGCAGCCATTAAAATAGCGCATCAGCATCAGGAGCGAAGGAGCAGGAGGGTGGAGAGAGAAACTGGAGCAACGTGCAGCCCGCACATGGTCCTGTCCAGGAAATCAGGTCTTAAAGGAGAAGGTTGTAGTTAGGAATATGAGAAGTATATTGGTCCCCAGAGTATGGAAACTCTTAATGTACATTGTAAAATAAGTGTTGAAGTAGGTTGGGCGGGTTCCTAAACCAGTTATTCCCATTCCTCAGTTACTGTCAGGCAGATGGGAAGGACCTGTGTCTGAGAGACCAGGTTAGCCTGACCCAGGAAGAGTCACATGAATCTGTGAGCCTTCTTCAGTCACTCTTGGTCCACCTGCCAGTGGGTCTAACCTGGTATCCTGAGTGGTTCCCTTTGACCTGGCACAGTGCAGACTTCACTTCTCGTGACTTGAGCCTCTGATAAGTAACTGAATGGCAAAGTAGTCCCATGTTTACAGGGCACTTGGAGACAGGAAGCATCTGGGCTCTGAAGGATCAGTCTCTGCTTTTTTGGCTATAGAGAAGATAAGAGAAAGGAAAAAGAAATTAGGTCTTCACTAGAAGTCCTGTCTTGGCTACTCTTGATTGGATCTTGTAGCCGCATTTGTGTGATAGAGCCACCAATCACAGAACTGGGCCATTGAGGACATTTCCTACTGTGCTCTTCATTTCCAGACGTTAGCAGGAAAGGCTAGGAACCAGCCAGGTAAATCTCCATCTCTGCCTCAGTCTAGTAACAGGAGACAATTGCTTGGTCAGCAAACCTGAACTAGTGACAGTTTGTCAAACATGTGACACCTAACTCATGAGAGGGTCCGAGGGGTGCACTGGCTGCTCTGCCCCACCTCCAGGGTATGCCGGGCAGAATCAGGTGTCCCAAGCAGTTGGGGAACATCTTGAAGAAACCACCTGCAGCTTTCTCTGGAAGGAAGACGAAGCTTCTCTTAGTCACTTGGGGGAGTGTTGTTGAGGCCTCTGAGGAGAGTATGTGGCCTAGCCGCCTCCTGCAGACCTCTTTGCAGGGCAGATTTTCATGTGGTGCAGACTTCCTTCCAAAACAAGATAAAGATTTCCTAGAAATTTTAATCTTCAGAGAGCTCATACATATTATCACAGTATCTGTCATTCTGTAGGGCTGTTGGTGCTGAATCAAGACTGGACAATTACAAGAAAAGATTGGGGCAGTAAAGTGGTAGAATCCTTCTTGATCATCGGATGACCTTTCTGGAAAGAAGGTGGGGGCATTAGTTTTTTCCCCTTAGCTCTCCATATTTTTCTGTCCCTCTTAGCTTTTGCCCTTATTTTCCATTTGAAAGGCAATTTCGTGAACTCAGCATCTCACAGCCGGTGCTATAGGTGTAGGGCCAAGTAGAAAGCTGAATTCTGCCTCCTACATTAACAGAATTCCTAGAAAAAAATTATCCATGTTCAGGGATTATCCACCAATGTGGGTACTTTAGAAGTAGTGCTTGGACAATGTAGGTTTGAAATGATGTTGAGACCCATGTGGGTGTTCTGTTTTCCATAGAACTTCTGTGCCTGTCAGCCAGTGGCTCAGCAGGCTGCTGGCTCTGTGGTCAGACTCACTGAGTGTCAGCTCTGCCTCTTTGTGGCTATGTTAATATTGAACAAGTTACTTGAGCTTTGGGACGTCCCCGTCCTCTCTGTGAAGTAGAGTTAAGGATGTTGATGACAGTACCTACCTTATACTTACACTGTGATAAAAGAGAAGCGATGTTAAGCATAGGGGCTGGCCATGGAAATGACTCCATAAATGCAAAATATGATTTACCTATCATCATGTTGCAAGAGGAGACTTGTTTCTACATTGGCAATATGGAAGTTTCAAGGGAGGACCCAGCAGAGGTGTGGCCGTGCCCTTCTTTGGTTCCTACGAGTTTAACTCCTTAGTGCTCATTTCACCTAAATCCTTCCTCTAGCCTCTCGTTCCTTCCTCCCCACTAAGTGCCCCAGGCCTGATGCTGCTGCCGTCTCCTACGTTTGATTTACTTCACTTCAGAGTACCATCATGTTTTCTGTCTCACTTAATCTTTGCAAGAGGGAAGATGAAATCCCCCATTTCTCAGGAGATGAAAGGAAAGCAGAAAGAACTTGCCAGGGCCTTGAGTCTAGAAAACACAAATCATCTTGCCATTTCCCACTTGCATAATCGTCCCTGAATCCTTGTAAACTAACCTAAAACGAAAGCGCTCAGAGGTACTATCCCAGCTTTAGTTATAGCACAGTTCTCATCTGCCACACTGCTGCCCCCTCCAGCAGAGGTCGCAATTCCCAGCTCGCCTCAAAATTCCATGGCCAACTTTTCTTCCCTGATGGAAAGAACTTTAGACGGGGAGCCAAGAAGACCAAGTCTAGTCCCAGCAATACCATGTCATTCTTGTGACCTCACATGACTGCAAGGCCTCACTGGGGCCTGCTCCCTCTGATACAGTGAAGCGATTGCTCTAAACCTGGGAGTCTCAGCCTTTTTTTCCTAGGATAGAAATGTCTGGTGACATCTAGACCTTGCTGGGTGGCCTCCTTGCCAACACCTTAACTGTCACTCAGCGTCTTCTGTACTCAGTGATCCACACTGGAACACAGGACTGAGCATGGTGCTGTTATAGGGGTAAACTTGAATCTGCTCCAGATTTCTGGGAAAATATGCAGCATGGGAGATGTAAGCCTTTTTCTGGTAGCAGATCACTTAAATACCTCTCAGTGTGTGTACCCAGGCTGGGGTTAGAGGACCTGTTCTGGAGCATCTCCATTGAGAGCCACTGCTGCCCCACCTCTCAGTCTGCATACAGGATGCTAACTTAGCAAGTGCAGCATACCGGTAATCTGTAAGCCATTTAAAGTGTTAAGAAATCTTGATCTTTGGAGTTGCAAACAAGCCCTTTGTGAATATACCAGCGTTAGAAATGAAGAGTGTCTTTATTTTAAGACTCAGGTTTCTTCCTTGACTCTCATTGCATACATGACACTGAATCTGCACATTTCCACATTGGGTTAAAAAATAAGCTGCCTGAGCTGGGCATGGTGGCACATACCTTTAATCCCAGCACTCCAGAGGCTGAGGCTGGTGGACCTCTGTCCTCTCCAGGACATGCTATGTTAGCGAGTCCAGACCAGGGAGGTAAGAATCACTGTCATCAAAGAAAGAAGCTGTGATGTACAAAAGGATGTGGACAAACCAATAACTTTCTGGAGGCAGTGGATCTTTTGGTATACATGGAAAGAATGGATCTATTTGAAACTATTCAGTAATATAAAAATGAGGAAGATGAAATCACAATTCATCTGTGTTTTGTTTTAAAATAGAGCAAGAGATTAGCTTTGCTTAATTCAACTCAGAAGATTCTCAGCTAGAATTTACCCATACTGATACAATGCTGAGGAAACTCTCTAGTGTATAACGATCCAGATTTCCCTGGGGATGAAGTAGATCACAGTTCTCTGTGTTCACCTGGCACTATGAAACAGCTGCTTCACTTAGTAGCATTTAGGAGCACTCTGGAGAGCCCTCTACTGTTCACACACTTCTTAAAGGACACAGCTGCCTTAGTTATAAAGGCAGTAAGGGGTGCTTAGGTGAAGGATGAAGGTACTACCAGCTGGGTAATTGGGGGGGGGGTGAGGGATGGAGGTGTGGATGATGATAGTGACTCCTCCCATGGGAGAGAATGAAGGGTATTAAACTCGGTGTTATTTAAAGCTTATTCAGCTGCCTTGATTTGCTCCCATCCTGTCCTTGTCTATCAGACCCCACTGAAAAAGGGTCTGAAAGGACATCAAACGAAAATCTGTATCCTGTTAAATGGTGTCAGCAAGCTCTGTTAAATGATGTATCAGAGTGCCCCAGTGAAAGCTGGGAGCTGAAGGCTGTGGAGAAAGGTCAAATCTCAGTGACTTGGGGAAGAAGTTGGTCTGGGGTCTGTCTACATTGTCACTATCTATAGCATTGACCCCCACAAGCTGTCATACTTGAGTATGTCCATTCTTACTGTGGATATTTGGATTTGGGAAGGACATTTCATCTTTTTTTCCTCTCTTTCAGGTTTCAAGTGCCCCATTTGCTCCAAGTCTGTGGCTTCTGATGAGATGGAAATGCACTTTATAATGTGTTTGAGCAAACCTCGCCTCTCCTACAATGGTAAGGGCTGGTTCTGTCCCACCAGCTTCCTGGGGACAGTCAGGGGAGTTGACCAGTTCTGGGAGCCTCCGGTGAAGAAACGCTCTGTGCAGCTTTCTTGAGGAATGTCTTTGCGGTGGTGAGGAGCCTGCTGTTTCAGAGAGCCCTGATCATAAGTTAAGGTGGCAGAGGAGTGGGCCAAGGAAGGCTGGCTCAGGGTCGGGTCCATAGTGGTGGAAAGGCTCTCAGCTTCTCAGGGAGTCCTCTGCCTTCTTCCCTTCATTCCATGGTCTTTGGTTAGGAGACCTGGCTATTCGTTCTCCTGTTCTTGCGCCTAACCATGGTAAAAGCCGCAGTACAACTGGACTCACTCTAAGAGCCATCAGAGGGACCCAGAGGGAATAACATCTCTCCATGGGGAAGGAGAACCATGGTTCTCCCAGGTACTGAGAGCTGGTCACCCTTTCTCCACTTTGCAGCTCAGATGAACTCCTGATTAAGCCGTATGACTGTGCTGGAAGGAGTAAGGGCAGTACACAGATGAGTTTCGGGATTAGTGTCGCTCGTATCCTTTCTCCACCCCAGTTTTCAACCTTAGAGGCTGCCTCAAAATTGAGCAGTGAATCCAGGAGGGGTAGGATCTTGGAGTCTGGGGGTTCTGTGATACCCACATCACCTTAACATGATGTCTGTTAAGGATTTGGAGTCCAGCTGATCAGAGGTCCAATCTTTATCACCCACTGACTATAATCTTGAAGAAGTTGCTCAACTTAGTAGAGCCTCAGTTTTCTGGTCCATAAAATGGGGATAGCAGTCTGCACCCAAAACCTTTTACCACAGAGCTTGGCTCATGGCTAGTGCCTAGGAAGTTATACCTACCATTGAAGAAGCAAAGCCTCTATAGCATGACTGACTTGATGCTGCCCAGCCTTTGCTGCCCAGGCTTTCCATTCCTGGGTTTAGTCTGGCGTCCAAACTATGTGTGCCAGGGAATTGTATTCTCTACAAGGATAAGCAATGGATCTGAAGGGATGCCCTCCAATCCCCATAGCATCAGATTAAAATCAGAGCATGGCCTAGGAAAAGAGTTGTGGCCTTTCTGAGAGCCTGGGGACTGTTTATCCCTTGACTGTTTGCTGATGGTGAGCCTTGTCTGGGGACACACTGTGACACAGCATTAGCCTCGGGAGGGCTAATAATTCCCAGGTGATCCTGGAAAATATATGTAATGAATCTAACCTGCTTGATTCTCAAAAACACATCCTACCACAGGTTGAATAGACCTTATCTGAAATTCTTATGACCACAAATGGTTTTTTTTTTTCTTACTTATTATTTTCATTTTGTGTGTATGAGTGTATTGGCTACATGCATGTGAGTGCACCCGTGTCATGCAATGCCACGGAGGTCAGAAGAGGGTTTCAGATTCCCCTGGAACAGGAGTTAAGGACAGTTCATAGCCGCCATGTGGGTGCTGGGAATTGAACCCGGGTCCTCTGCAAGAGCAGTCAGTGCTCATAACCGCTGAGCTAACTCTCCAGCCCCAGGACCAGAAATGTTTTAGATTTTGAAACATTTGTGTAAGTAATTACCAGTTGAACATCTATAATGTGAAAATATTGAAGCCAATTTTTTTTGGGGGGGGGTTGTTTTTGAGACAGGGCTTCCCTGTAGGCCCAGCTAGCCTGCAACTTGCTATGTAGACCAGACTGGCCTTGAACTCGAAGAGATCTACCTGCCTCTGCCTCCCAAGTGCTGGGATTAAAGGCGTGTGCCACCACACCCAGCTGAAGCCAAAATTTTTTAAAAATTTTTTTTTAATTTTTAAAATTTATTTTATGTGTTTGAGTTTTTACCTACATGTATATAAATGTACCACATCAGGACCAGCTATCAGACAGGGTTACGGTCTTACCTTTGCCCCCAGTGAGCCCCTTTCCTCTTCAGCAAGCAGCCTTTCCTTGGTCCCCAGGGACGGACTGTTACCACACCCCTGGGTCTGTTGTCACATGTGCCTGGCCTGCCCATGCTCAAGCTCAGCTTTGTTCCTGTTTTCCATCTCTGCCTGGGACCACGGAAGGAGAGGGGTTTTCCCTGTGTCTCATGGCCCTCTCCAGCCATAGCCTCAAATGATGTATTCACTTCTGTCCCACATGTGTTGAGACCTTATGAAGACTGTTTTGTCCTGGGAGTTGCTGGGAGAGCTGTCTGTAGACACTGCCTTTGCTGTCATAAGAACACAAAGAACCTTCAGAGGGGGCATGGCCTGAGAGAACCTGACTTTTAGAGTCATTGGGGAGAATTTTGTAAGAGCAACCGTGGTGAGCCAAGTGCTCCCAAGGACTACCGCCAGTCAGGAGCCACGGCACATGCTGATATGGGAAACGGGGAAGGTGAGGGTCACCTGCTTCTCCCGCAGAGAACTGATCGTGGCACCCACAAGTCTTACTCGGTATCATCACTTGAGTGCCTGATGCTTGTTTCTTCCCCACCTGGGAGGTCCCCCAGAAGAAGGGCAGGGTTGGTCACCTGAGGCAGAGCCACTGTAGTTCTTCTGCTCCTTGTTTTTCCTTCATCCTCTATGTTAAGAGGACACCTCTGGGTGTGTATGAGCTACAGACTTTAATTAAAGTTCAAGTCTAGATTGTAAGAGCCAGTCACTTAACACCAGAGACGGGGAGGCCGGCCACCTCCAGCCATGTAAATGGAGATGGTCCTAGGTGATGAAAGGACTTTGGAATCCAGGTCTGTCCCCTCTGTGCACATGGCTAATACAGAAAGGCTATGGTAGCATGACCTGCTCATATCCAGTCTTTGTTTTTTCCGAAGACACTAAGAGGTAAGAGAGCAGTGTTTGATGCATAGGTTTGTGTAGAGTGGAGTCTTCAGGGCCTGTTTCTAATTCAAAGCATGAGCCCTTGGGTCCTTAGCCAAAGCTTCCAGTGTAGGGGCTCTGGGCCTACTTTGGTTTTGCCAATAACATGCTCTTCCCACGGTTTCTCATTGCCCCGGTCTCACATGCTTTACCTTACCTTGTCTACCTTAATAGAAAAAAAGTGGTGGGCCTGGTGGTGCACGCCTTTAAATCCCAGCACTCAGGAGACAGAGGCAGGTGGATCTCTGTCAGTTCAAGGCCAGCCTGGTCTGCATAGTGAGTTCCAGGCCTGCTGGGGCTACAGGGAAACCCTGTCTCAAAAAGACTGAAAAAAAAAAAAAAAGTGAGGAATAAATGTGACTGCCAGCTGTGAGCTGTTGGAATCTTTCTGGAAAGGGGCAGGATGAGGCTTTCTTCAGTGATGGAGTGCTGTTTTCTCATGAAGACTCACTAGAGGGCCAGAAATGAAGCCCAGGAGTAGAGCACATGCCTAGCATGTGTGAAGCCTTGAGTTTCATTTCCCGAAGTGGGACTTAAAGAACACTGGTACTCCCTGGTCACTGTCCTGGAGGGAGGGAGACAGACAGACAGACAGACACACACACACACACACACACACACACACACACACACTGCAGTTGCTGGCACCAATTAGGGAAATTTTTAGAAAATTTATAATGGTTATGTAAGATGAAATTTAGTTAACCACCACAGAAAAAAGTAGAAACCTCCTAAATGAGGCAGATAGAAAGTAGTATTTTTCTTATTCAGAGGGTTGGCCTGAGTGGAGGGTTGGAAGGCCTCCAGTAGTTGTCTGCCAGATTTTTTTTTTTTTTAATTTAGGAAAAGCAAGGCTAGTTTTACTGGTCCAACCAGTGCTAAGAGAAAAGGGAAGAACCAACACCTGGTACTCCTAGGGCAAGTGCCTAGGGAGGCCTTTGGCCAGCAGAGCCCCTGCTGGAGGAGCAGGGAAGGGTACAGGTCCCAAAGCACCAGCCATTAGCCCTCTTATCTCCTGAGCCTTCCTGTGACAACCCTGGACCTAGGACTCCTAGGAGGTGGGGGAGCTGCCCAGAAGAGAGCGAGGAGGTGAGGGGTCTCCTGCGTAAATGCCATTGGCTTCGGTACCTCTGTCTTGCTCTTCCCCAAAGCCCAGGCCATGAAATTGTTCAGTGAGCAGAATACAGAACAAGCCTGTGAGATGGCGGTGTGATTTTTGCCTTGGCAGAGAGAATTGTGTTACCATGGGCTTCACTGAAAGCTCAGGATGGCTACTTCAAGACCTGCCAGGATTCCTTAGTGCTGGAAGGTTCTGGTGGAGCAGGTCCTTTCCTTTTCCTTCCCCTTTCCCCTTTCTCTTCTCCCCCCCTTCTCCTCCCTTCCTCTCTCTTCCTCCTCCTCCTCCACCTCCTCCTCCTCCTTCTCCTCCTTTTCTTCCTCCTCCTCCTCTTTCTCCTCCTCCTCCTCTTCCTCCTCCTCCTCCTCCTCTTTCTCCTCCTCCTCCTCCTCTTCCTCCTCTTCCTCCTCCTCCTTTCCTTTTTCCTTTCCTTTCAAGAGAATACATGCGAATAAAAGTCAGAGGACCACTTGCAAGAGTCAGTTCTCTCCTTCCACCATGTAGATTCCAGTGATCAAACTGAGGTCGTTGAGTTTGACAGCAAGTACTTTTACCCTCTAAACCATCTCACTAGCTCAATTCCTTTTTAAATAATTTTTGAGGGTGTTTGGGGGATGTTGTGTTTGTAGTGTGTGTGCATATGGGTGTGTATGGAGGCCAGAGGTCAATATCAGGTGTCTTCCTTGATCACCCTTCTTACTTTTTGAGATAAGGTCTCATTGAACCTGGAGACCATTGACTTCACCAGGCTGGCTGGCTAGTTAGCTCCAGGGATCTGCCTCTCTGCCTTTTCAGTGCAGGATTATAGACATGTGCTCCCATGCTGTCTTTTTACATGGGGACTGGGTGTCCAAACTCAGGTCCTCGTGCTTGCATGGCAAGCACTTTACCAACTGAGTCATCACCCTAGCCTACCTAAGCTTTCTTTAAGAAGTGGGATCCTGGCTTCCGTAACTACAGAAAGTTGCCTGTCACTTGGCTACTTGGAGCCAGCATCCTGGTCAAATATGTGCACCATTCCATGCCTTCTGTCTCTGAGACTTCATGGCTGGAATGGCAGTGCTCTGCCCTTCTCAGGCTAGGGAAGCCAGGTCCTGGTTGTTGAGTCGGCCCAGAGCTATTGTTGGATGCTGGAGAGGAGTTCTGGCAGCTGTGGAGATGTCTGTCCTAATGTTCCTTCCACTAGAGAAGGTCAGGAGGGAGGTGGCCACTCAACTCAGCTGCTGTTAACCAGCCTGACCAAATTAACCCCCTCCATGTACACAGGAGTGGGAGGGAGGCCCAGAGGGACTTTGTGCCAGTGGGGAAACAGAACCAGAAGTTCCAGAAGAGGGCACAGCGTAGGGGAGCTGGGGAGAGCCTCCATGAATGTGAAGCAGCCCTACCTGTCAAAACATTGGATTCTACCTCACAGTCCAGGGGTATTGGGACAGAGTGCTGCTCATAGGAAACACTCTGTATTTAAGAGCTCCCCTCTGTCTGAAGAATAGCGTACCCCAGTTTTCCCAAGAATAGAACCAGCAATACCTGAAACTGGTGTCCTTGCTTTTTCCTATCCCTCCAACACACTAGGCCAGCAGCCTCTGGCTCCTACCTTCCTTCCCATTGACACCAGCCTCGGGGTGTGAATGTATGTGTCTGCTCTTAGCTGCTGACTCAGATGCATATCAGTCTTCCCTCCAGCTGGTCATTAAAAATGGATCTTGGCTATTTCCTTCCACACCCCATGGCAGTTCTGTGGTCTCTTGGTTAGTGTGTTGCCAGATGCTGTACAGGGCAGCCAGACCCCAGCATTGTCAGAAGGCAGCAGTGCTTCCCCTCAGTTGGGCCTGTCCACTGTAAGTCCCTGGGGGCCTGTACACTTCACGAAAATGGAAAATTTAAGCTCTCTGTGAGATGGATAGTGTTTTCAAGCCATAGCGGAGGTACCTACATGGCCTGGTCCTTTAAAGAAAGCAGACGGAGTCCAGGCCCAAAGGAACTTTGACTTGAGATTCATGGCCACGTACCAACTGCATGGACATCCCCCTCCCCTGATCTGTACAATTCTCTGAGATTTCTGTGATTTTCTTGGCCCATAGCTGGCCCAGAAAAGTAAGGGCCTGTTTCCTCATTCTCTCCTTGACTTCTTTTCTTTGACAACAGCAGCTGTCAGCAGTGTTGTCCCTGATCTTAGAGAACAGAGGGCATTCCTCCACCCCCGCCATCACAGGCATCACACCTGTTTGGGCCATTCTGGGTTGGTTCCCTTTGTCTGGTCAGAAGCACTGGTGCCTTCTAGCACTAGCCCCAGCCAGGCTACATGCCCTCATAGGCAGTGACTTTGGTTGGCTTTTGCTCATGACATCAGGAAGTTGGGAGTGGCTAAAGAGGCAGCAAGGAAATGGCAGAACCTCAAAGCAAAGACTACTTTGTTTTTGTCTTTGCAGTATCCAGCTTTGTTGAGCCCCTCCCCCAGGGTCCTGGGCACATCAAGGGTCACCCGAGTTCATCTGCAGTGTACCCTCAGTGTATGCTGGGTCCAGGGTCCTTGGCTTTATTACAAAGTCTCTGTCATGACTTCCCTCTGGCAGTGGACCAAAAGGCTCCTGTCAGAGGAGTATGGATATCTCACAGGAATGGTTCATAGCCAAGCTTCCGCTTCAACCATTTCTAATGCCCCCTCCAATCCCAGGGGCAAATGGGAGCTGCTGATTCTGAGTCCTGGTGATTGGGACAGGACATTCTAAACAGACCTCTGTGCTCCCTGAGGTCTGGGCTAGATGTGGATTCCCCACACGGTCAGATTCCATGCCTCTTTGTTTTATTACATTTATTTGTGTGTGTGTGTGTGTGTGTGTGTGTGTGTGTGTGTGTGTGTGTGTCAGAGGATATTGTTTCTCTCCTTCCATCATGTGGGTCCCGGGGATCAAATTCAGATCTTCAGGCTTGGCAGTACATGCCCTTACCTACTGAGCCATCTTGCCACCCAGACTCTAGGTGGGAACCTCTAGGTGGCCTTTCATAGTCTCAACCCCAGTGAAATGTACTCCCTGCTACATGCCAGCCTGGCAGACAGCTGCACACTTCACTTCTTTCCACCAATGCTGCAGACCTAGGCTAGCTGGTAAGGCACATAATATGCTTTGTGAAGGGGCCAGGTATAGTCTGCATTTAACCAAGTGTTCAAGTCTGGGTCTGTCAGTTCTAAACTAACAAGTGTTCAAGAGTAGGATCCTTCTACCGAGGATATGATTGCCTCACCCTTGTTCCCCTGCCCTTCCCCGTTCCCCTAGTGATGTGCATTGTGAAGAGAGAATTGGGTCAGTTCTGTTGAAGAAGAAAGCCCCCAAGTCAAATTTTCATGTCTGACTCCCTGCCCTCACATTGGTCACCACTGGGGGCCATGTGGACTCTTCTAGAGTGGGTGCAGATGGAAAATGAGTACAGTCTGTGGGGGAGGTTGTTTGGGACCCAGGAGACCCTGACTTGTCCCTTGGGTTCACTGCCCAGTTACCCATCAGTAGGGGAAGTCTAAAGGGAAGCTGCTTTGGAATCCAGAGGGAAACATGAAGGGTATGAAGGGCTGTAACCTGATAGCCCATGTCAGGAGTGAGATGCCCCAGAGATGGGGCAGAAATGGCCAAGGACGTCTACAGGACTACTCTACCCTCTCTTAAACTAAGCTTGTTTTCTTCCCATCTCTATTGAGTTTTATCCTTCATTTTTCCATGGAAAGTATCAAATATATACCAAAGTTGAAACAGTACCTACAATTTGTAGTATGAGGTTGACAGTCTAGACTGTTTCTCATCTCCTGAGTTCATGTGCCCTTTCTGTTGGACCTTTGAGTTAGCTAAATGTTAACAGAGAAATGGTCACCCCAAGTTGTCCTGGTGACCGGGAAGACAAAATGACTTCTCTCACAAGCCCTACGGACAGACTCCAGTATCAAGTGTTACCTATTTTATTCCCTTTCTTCAGAATTCCTGATAGAGGACTTTTGAGTCACCAGACCCTTCTAGCCCATGAATAACCTAGATTTTATGGGCCTTTGATGTTTCTCTTTCTACCAAAATAATCAGGACATAAACACCAATGGGAGAGGTCACCTGAAGAGAGGCTTCCAATCCTGATACCGCCGTGTCCAAGCCCCCAGACAAGAGCAAGACATTTCACTTCTCTAGACTTCCATATTCTCATTCACAAAGTGGGCCTCTCCTACCTTGGAAGATCATAAGGCTCAGAAGAAAATGTACACGCAGAATCTCAGAGTGTATCTGTGGCTGGGTTTGTAGTCTTTGAGTGGTGGGAAGTGATCAAGCTCTCCTCTCAATAGCCATTTGCTGATCGCTTGGTGTTTCCACTCTGGTTTGGGGAACCTCCTTGTGATCTCATGTCACATTACCAGGGTCTGTGTCCTGCGTTACTGAACTTTAGTCTACACATCCTCCCTGGATAGTCTCTGAACACTGTCTGCACCTGTTGCCGTGTTTCTTTTGAACCCCACGTGGAGACTGAAGCAGACTTCTAGAGTACTCCATTAGTGTGTCCCTGTAAAAGCACACCTAGTAGACACCTGAACTCACCACTCCTTGACCTCCCTTGCCTTTGCCCATGAAGATTCTTACTGACACATGCATGCCATTACCAAGCCCTTATTAGCACATGCACTGTTGCTGCATGCTCTATATCTGTGTCTAGAGTGGGGAGAATGGGTTTCCCATATTTGTCAATTCCACCTCTAGTGTGACTCTTGGCTAAGTAGAGGACACTGAGGTTCCACAGCATGGCATAAATCTGTACTTGGGGACTTGGTCTCACCTCTCTCTGTGTCACCATAAGTCTCCTTACACTTGTCTTAGTGGACTTCCTGCCATTTCCGGTGTGTGACCCTGTTTCCTTTACCAGGAATCTCTTCCCTCCCACCCCAGCCTCTGCCTTTCTGCTCCTCTCACTATGACCTCCAAAGCCTTCCTTCAGTAGCCCCTACCTTGAGTAAGCACTTTTCCCCATACCCCTCATACCTGGGTGCCTACATCAAAAGGCTGCCTAGGAAGTATTCTACTGGCTTTATTTTATTTGCATAGCTCTCCAGTTGCTGTGTCCCTCAACCCCCACAAAACATGGTGATTTAGGTCATGCAAATAGTTCCTAGACCTCTGCTTGCTCTGTGCCACCCACCCACTGGTGAATAACGGTCTTGCTCTCTCTGTCTCTTGTTGCAGATGACGTGCTGACTAAAGATGCGGGTGAGTGTGTGATCTGCCTGGAGGAGCTGCTTCAGGGGGACACGATAGCCAGGCTGCCCTGCCTGTGCATCTATCACAAAAGGTACAAGGGCCAAGCAGGAACAACTCGGCCACATCCCACATCCCAAGGGCTAGATCCTCTTCACCAGTCATTAAGTCCTCTTTAGACATGTGATGACCTGTATTCCGTGTGTTGTGACGGGAGTCATGCAGCCACTGTGCTGACCAGAAGACTTAAACATTCCAAGGGAAGAGCAGAGATGAATTGCTCAAGGTTCAGCTCTGCTTTGACAATTCAGACTGGCAAGAGCCAGTGGGCAGACCATAAAACCTGACAGGTTAGATGTATGTGGGCTCCCACCTAGAGCCTGACTCTCCTTCTCCCTGAACCCTACTCTGCATAGTAAAAGCAGTGTCATGGGTAGAGGGTGCCCTTGCTGCCTTGTGCAGTGCCTCCCTCCCTCAAGGGCCAGGAGGCAGGAAAAATGACATGTAGGTTCCAAGAACTGCTATAATTAGCCAAGGCCAAGATTCGTCCTCTGCCTCCACCAGGATCCTTAACTAGAAAGAAGACACCTCCTTGCCCAGGACAGGAGACACCCTGTGCTCCCATGGCCACCACCTGAGCTCTCTGCTTCTCCAGACCAGCACTGTTTCTTGGCACAGGGGCTTTTCTAAGCCCAATCCAGTACCACTGGTTTTCAGGGTGACAGCTGTGCCTGATGATTGGTCTTTGGGAAGAACTGTGACTACTGGTCTGGGTTCCAGCACAGATCCCTGCAGCATCCCAGGGCACTAACCAGAGCCAGGGAAGGAAACCCCTTGCCTCAGGGGAGAGCTAAGCAAATTATGTTTGGTTCCTGTCTTTCAATGCCCAGATACAGATTTACAAATCTGGACAGTGTCTTGGGGCAATCCTTCTTGGATGCGGAGAGTCCTCTGCAAACATTGGAGACCAGAACTTTATTGATACCCCCTTCCAGGCACACTTACCTAGCAATGTCCCCAAGGATCCAGCTCCCCTCCCCACCTTTGTAGCCAATCCAGGTGGGCTTGGGGCTCCTGGGGGCGGGGGTGCTCTTCCCCGCTCAAGGGAGCTAGGACAGCTTCTTTTGTCTGGTCTCACTCCCTGCCCCTCGGGCTATGGAGACAGTTGACCAGTTGCCCTGCAGGGTCCACCTGCTCTCACCTTCTCAGCATTAGCTGTCGCCACCTTGGACTCTTGCACTTGGGCTTTGGGGCTTCTCCAGGCCAGTCTTGCCCTTCCTGCAGGGCCACATCCACCCAAGCCTGTACCTACTGCTCCTGCCAAGCCAGGATCATTGTTAATAGCCTACCTTCTCCTGCTTTATTAAAGGGGGCATGATTGCTTTTCCTTGGGGTTCTTTCAAGGGAGATTTAGAAAGTCCTTTCCTGGAGTCTGACTCCTTAAAAGACCCCCTTGGCAGGAGCAGCATGGTCAATAGCTGACCTGTTCCCCTTGCTGTCCCACCCTAGCTGCATAGACTCGTGGTTTGAAGTGAACAGATCTTGTCCAGAACACCCTGCTGACTGACCCTGCTGGGCTTGCTTGTCAACTCCTCTCAAAGGTGAGTCTGTGCTTTGGGGGGGTCTGGGCTCTAAGCTTAGGGTCAAGTTGCTGGGACCTGGGGGAGAGGGACTGGGCTGCCTGATACACCCCTCTAAGGAAAAAGCAGGAACAGAGGGTAAGACAGGAAGGTCTCCTTGGTGAGAGCAGTTACTTAGAAGTGGTAGGGATTTTCCCGGGGAAGCCTGAGAGAGGCACAGTAACATGTTCATGGTAATAAAGAACATACTCTGAAAGGTAGAATTAGCTGTGGAAGGATGGCACATTCCAGATGTCCTTTTCCCGAAGAAAGCCGAGAAACATCTGCAGAGTTCATGGGCGGAAGAAGATGAGCCCCAGGCAGGTGCTGGCGTTGCAACAGCTGTCTCTTCCGCACTCACCTCTCCGAGGCTCTGCCTCTCTGGAGCCAGGAGAATTATGCACTAAATAAATAGCTCGAGGGACTGTCCACTGTCCAGTGCAAAGTGTTGATCTGCAATCTTTCCACCTGTAGGCCACACTTAGCCCCTCCATCCCACAGCTCAGGGTCACCATATCAGCAGGCCAGCACCATAACTCCCTTTCCCACTTGCATTTGTGTCCCTGGGTGCATAAACATTGGGTCTGGCCTCCATTTCTTCCCCAGGACACCTTGCTTTACTGCTGACCACCCTCTCCTGCCCCCCACCAGCTGTGCCTTTTGAGGTCTGGGCTGGTGTTCCCTTTTTTTTTTTCCTGGCAAACAAATAGAAGACAAGTCCTAGAAAAACCAGTCGCCCATGTCCATTTCATCTCACATCCAAAGGTTTGGGGGCCTCTTTTCTTCTCTCTCTCTCTTCTTTGTTTTGTTTTCTTTTGTTAGGTTTATTTTATTTATTCCAAGTAAATGCCCAGAACAGCTGATGATGTCAGACAAATCAGGGACATTTGCTCTTTTTACCTTCACCTCAAAATCTGAATGCAAGGGGAGAAGAGAAAGCAAGGGTGAGAATGAGGCAGAGGGATTGGACCCTGGCCCCGGAACACAGGTCCAGATTGCCGGCATGATGTTTGGCTTCCGGGGGGCCTGCCTGGACTGAACCAGATGCCCCGGCTGGCCAGCCTGCCCTCAGCAGGACACACGCTGCTGCCACCGAGAGATGCAGCAGTGGCCCTCGGCCAGATGGAGCACGACTGACTTCTTCCGATCCACACAGGGACAGACAGCCCCTCTTCCTGGAAGGAGGCTCCTCGGACACTGGACAGAGCTGAGCTTGGGACACCAGAGGGAACAGGGCACCCCTTCTGCACTGACTTCCAGAAAATGGTCCTCCCTTCTCCCTGAGGACACCCAGCTGAATGAAAGCAAGTCTGAGAGCAAAGTGAACTGACCGCTATCCTTCCCCTCACCCTCAACCCAGGAGGGAAAGGGCATTTTCTTTTTCACCTTTGAAAGGCGTTGTGGGTCTGTCTTTAAAGTGTTTACAACAACAAAAAAATTATATATAAAAAAAAAGTCTAGTGTCGACTGGTGTTTTCCCTCGTGATGTTTACAGATTGCTGTTCGCTGCCCAGCTATAACCCACTCAGTGACAGAACCAAGCATAGCCATGCCCTCACCGCTAGCGCTCTGCCAGCCAGCGGACACACGGTCCCATCTTTGCCCAACACCCCAGTTGGCTCTCTGTCACAACCTTTCTACCTTGGGAGTTTGTTTTTTGTTTTCTTGTTTCTTTTTGTTGTTTTTCCATTTTTCTGGCTTGGTTTTGCACTTTTCTCCCCTTAGGACCCTGATATCTTGATTTCATTGCCAAAAAAGAAGAGCCGGTGGAGGACACACCCCACTCCCATGTCCCCCTTCCTTTCTCCTGGTTCTGGTCAGTGCAGAGGATTTAACAATCACAAGTGTACTGCAAAAATGCCTGAACATTTTTCTTAAGCCCTTGTGGATTTTCTTTTTCCTGAGAAAACTTAAACAGACTTACTAAAAGAATATGTACTGCTACCCTGTTTTCAGGTACACTGGCAACATTGTAGTCATCGATGTCCACAGGTGACATCAGCCCATGGAAAATAGGTTTCTGTATTTATATAGTAAATTACGGAAAAAAAAAAAAAAACCTTACAAAGTGTTTAAAAAAAATGTTCAAAGCTTGGGAGAAAAACTTTCTTCATCGGTCAAGGTGTTTTGATATGGTATTAAAATAATGTCTAATAAAAGATGCACTGTGTGGTTTTATTTTAATAAAGTATTGTTACACAATCAAGAAAAGGGGGCAAAGGTCCATTTCCCTCTGCCCCACCCCCAACCCCCCAGCATTCTCTCAGCACCTGTGCGGTGCCTGCAAGGTGTATGTAGTGGGTCTCAGACAGCTGCACCTGGGTGGAGACTTGGAAGTGGTGATTCAGGTGTGTCCTGCATCACAGAGTGATTGTCACTCTGCCGACTGTGCTTGTGATGGAGCTTTTGGAAAGGTCTTCAGAGGCAAAGATCTTGCAGCTGTCAGAGGCTGCAAGGATGTGGGCACCTCCAGGTGCCAGCCCAACCCCCCTCACAACCCGTGTTCTCTGTCCCGTGTTCTGCTTGCCTGTTGCTTGTCCACAGTTCAGTGCTGACTCATGGGCATGCTTCACTGAGGCCCAGAAAGAAGCCCTGGTTTGGGGCTGAGCCAACTCACAGTCCTTGAACCAGAATGAGCCATTAGCCTCATAAAAGTTGGCAAACTTCAGGCTGGGCAGGAAGCTCAGGGCAGGGGGTAGCAGTGCATGCCCACCCTGTCTCCCGGCCAGGCTCCAGGAGCTGCATTCCAGAGCCTTCTGCAGAGTCTGCCAAGGAAAGTTCTGAAGGGAGAGGGCTGCACACCTCTGCCCTGACTGTTTCTAGGCTTGCCCCTTGTATTGTTGCCCGAGAGCTCCATCCCTCCAGGCCCTTGTCTGAACTGTGCTGCCTCCAGGACCTTTGCTCTGAGGTCACTTTCCCTCAGATGCTTCCTGAAGCATCTTTGTGCAAGGACATTTGTTGGAAGCCAGTGGACACGTGTGAGCCAAGACAGGCAAGCTCAGAAAACTTTTTGAGCCTGAGTCAGAGACCTCAGGACCTACTATGAGCACTGTTGAGTTAGTGGCTAGACCCTGGGCTCTGCATTTTCACACTGCACTTCTTGGCAGAGTGATGTTGAAGTAATTCGTTATCTGAATTTCAGATTCCTTGCATGTAACGTGGGGACACAAATCATGCAGCTCAGAGTTTACTGTGAGGGTCAAAGGATCTGCCCTGCAGGCCTGGCACATGCGCAGCAGACTTCTTTGTAGCTTTGCTATTGCAAAGGGCACTGTTCTATTCCCAGCACCTCCAGCTTCTGCCTGGCAACTGTGTCTCCCTGTTCTATATTTAATTCTACCAGCAGAGCTGGCAGGGCAGGGCCCAGCCCTGAAGGAGATCTCCTTGCCTGACCCCTGGGCCTGGAGATGGAGGTTCTGTGTGCCCACCTTGGCAGCATGAGCCTGTTTTGGCTGTGCCATAGCTGAGCCCAGTGGTTGTGTTGGATGGGGCAGGACTGGGCCTCACGCCTGGTGCTATTCCAGGCTCTCTAGGCTGGTGCTCATCTCTACCCCCAGTGACTTCCACCCCCACCTGACACACCAAAGCCCTTTGCTCTGGCTGTCACGTCCTCTGAATTCAGACCCAGATTGCCAGCACCTGGTGTGAGGGTGGGATTGGGCTTGTCTGGCCTTCCAAGGTGGCACTGTTTGTCACTGCCACCCAGACAGCTCTCCAAAATCCCATTTCTGCTCTGCCTTTCTGAGAGGGGAGAGAATATGGAGGAGCCAAGAGATGGGTTCTTCCTTCTCTCCTGGACACCCCTTTTGAGAAAACCACGCATCTAATAGCCATTTAATAGTATTGAAGCTCATAGGAAAATGTTCTTAGGAGATAGATGCTGAATTTATATAGGTGAATGATTTCAAGAATTGTATAATTCCAAATGTCCCCCCAATACAGCAAATAAGGCAAAATGTCCATTGTTGAATCTTCAGTGACTGATATTTCAGTGGTGTTACTTGTCTTTCAATTTTTCTGTATGTTTGAATTTTTCTTTAATAAAAGAAATTGTGGGGAAATGGCTGTTGTGTGCCTACTAGTTACCAATCAATAGAGGGCTTATCTAAGAGCGCTGCCCGTCCAGCACTACTCCACTTTGGGCTTGAGGGAGGAGCCAGCAGTCTGTGTGGAAAAGGGAAAGGCTAGAGATTTCTGTGTCTTGAAGTGGTTTGGAAGTAGACTTGATGAGACCTGCCACTTAAACCACAAACTGCCCCTGGTGTAGCCTCCGCTCCCAACCAGGGAACTGAGACAAACATCACAGAGAACGGGTCCCAAGAACTAAGTTGGATTGATAAAGTGGCAGAGTGACTTCCTCTGTCCAGAGCCTGGTGGGAAGGGTGGTTAGGGGATGGTTAGGGGATCGAGGAGGCTTCTGACGGCATGAAGTGAGCAGAAGACTGCTGTTGCCCCCTCCTGCCCTGGTTCGATCTAAGAGTAGGGAAGGTGGCACTACAGTCTACCGAGACCCACGGGGGGGCGGGGTTAGGGGCTGAACAGCTAACGCTGGAAGGTGGGTGGCCCACAGCTGGGAGCTACAGACACTGGTCCAGTCTGCCCTAAGCTGGTGCTGTGATTTAAGATTTATGGTGTCAGGCGCCCTCTTGTGGACTTCTGGGGAACAACTGCCAAGTATCTAAAGAGGTGCTCTGGCCAAGGGATCTCAAGACTGACAGGCATTGACTTTAAGGGCAAAAACTGGTGGTATCATGCATCACACCATGGGGAGGTGTGGTACTCGGAGGATCATCTCACCTAGGTTTCTTATGGCCAGTAGCAGTGTTTTAAAGAGGGTGTGCAGGGTGTTCCAAGGCCCAGTCCAGGCCTGATGGGAAGGCTATCATAAGTGGCCTCTGCCACAGGCAAGTCAGCTGCCTCAGGTACCCAGAAGTAGAGCAGTTGATACAGGCTTTCTTCCAAAGCCTGAACACCAACTCCCTTCATGGGCTTCTAGTCTCAGAAGACAGGCCCAAAACAAATTGCTTACTGCCCAAAAATCAGAGACCTGGAACAGAGGAGAAAAGACACTGAATATGCCCCCTTCTGCTCTCCACAGGGCTGTAAATGGGGTTCACATTCATTTAGGAGAGGTAGGCAGCAAGGCCTTCCCATTCCAGGAGAGCAGTATAGGATGAAATATGAAGGTGCCGGGCCCCCGGCGGGGGGGAGCTCAATAGAGGGAGCTGATCTTAGTCTTGGAGTAGACCCATACCATCTCTGCCAGCCAAGACAGAATGAGCAGAGACGAAAAGGCTTCACTGGGAAACGCCCTGGGTTTTCTACTAAACTGAAGGCTCCTCAGGACAGCAAAGGTGGGTATGAGGCCAGCTGCTTCACCTTGAGCCCCAGGTATTGAGGGCTAGCCAGCAGGCAGAGAGATCATCAGCCATTCATTTTGTCCTTTGCAAAGTCAGAGGCATGAAGGAAACTTCCAGAACAGGGGTTCTGCATTCTGGGGATTGTGAACGAAGTTCCTCATAGCACTTTGCCTGGGTTCATGAGGCCTCGGGGATCCAGCGTGACTTTGAGCTGCCGCATAGTCTCCATGCCCACAGCACCCACTTCCTCTTCCAGCAGCTGTCGCTTTCCGAGCCCAATGCCATGTTCCCCAGTGCATGTCCCGTCAAGTGCCAGCGCACGTCTAGAAAGCATTAGGAGTCTTCAGCCACCTCTTCTCCCACTCCCTCCACCCTCCTCCATCCCCACCCCCTCTCTGGCTCCACCCCTACCTGCCCAGATTTTCTGCAAAGGCCTTGACCCTCTTCTGTTCTTCAACATCATCTGGATTAACCAGCAGGATGCAGTGAAAGTTGCCATCACCCACATGCCCAACAATGGCTCCTGGGGGGCCAGAGGACAGAGTGGTCACCTCCAGCCTCCCTGTCCTTGGCCCAGGCATTAGTCAGGTGAAAGGTCTCCCCACCCTTTCCCAACGGTGAGTAACTAGAACAGAACCTGTGAGTTTCAAGGCCTTAAGTTCCTCCTTGGCATCTACCAGGATCTTGGGCAGCCGTGAGATGGGTACACACACATCCGTGGAATAGGCCTGAGTCAGAAGGCAGGCTGGTGAGACTTGCCCCATCACTCACTGCCTGCCTGAAGATAAGGGATCACTGTGGCTCAGGTTAAAGACCAGTCTGGTTGAAGACCAGGGAAACTAGCTTCAGCTTTTGACATGGAAGGAAACACCTGCCCTTCTCTAGTCAACTAGAGTGTGTTCACTGAATCTCAAACCTGGACCACATGCAGGTTCCTGGCACCCCACACTCCTGAGCTTGTGCTCAGAGCTCAGCCTGTTCTGGGTTGGGCCACCTCTGTTTCTTCTTGCCTTGTTTACAACTCCTGTGGGCTTAGCCGGGTGTGGTGGTACATGCCTTTAGTCCCAGCACTTGGGAGGCAGAGGCAGGTGGATCTCTGTGAGTTCAAGGCCAGCCTGGTCTACATAGTTGCTGTTTTATCACAACGGAAAAGTAGCCAGAACAGCCACCTTAACAGCTTATAAAGGAGGGCAGAGTCCAGTGTGCAGAATCCCGGGTCGGGAGCCATGCCACTGGGTTTGACACTAGCTATGTGTCCCCCGGTTTTCTCATCAGCCTCTCTGTTCCAAAAAAAAACAAAAAAAAAAAAAAAAAAAAACAACTTCTGAGGGCTCAACCCTGTACCTGGGGCTAATGGCTGACTTATAGAAACACTGGGTTTCTGGCAGATGATGCTGTTCTCCTTGAAGACAGCATGGATGTGGTCTTTAGCCCCGGGTCCTCATGCTCACTCAGCCAGGCCCAGCCCTCTGGTAGGCTTCAGACTTCTCTATGTAAGTAATAGGTTAGGGATTTATCAGTTGAGCTGCAGATCCCACCTCTACCCCAGCCCGGCTCACCTTGCTTCCAGGAGACAGGGCCAAGGCTGCATACCAAGCATTGTGTCGCGCTGCCCAAAGCTGGCTACGCTCCTCGGCCTCCTTGGCCCAGGAGAAGTGTGAGCCTCCATTATCTTGAGTAATTGCCTCTGTGGTGGAAGGAGAAAGGCTGACCCTTAGCACTATACTGGAACAGCCCAGGCCCCACTGCCCCACCCTCTCCAGCACACCTGTCTGCTGCAGCTGTTCTGCCAATGCCTCCTTTGAGCCGTGGAACTCCAAGAAAAGTGTAGGTGCCACTGGACAGTTTAGGTTGCTGTACTTGTTGCAGGCATCCATCATGATGTCATCCAGGAACTCTGGACCAGGGAGAGCACTGACCAGGTGAGGCCTGGCCTTCCAAGGGGGCTTTTTCTGAGGAGCCCACCCCAACTACCCCAGTCCCTGGCTCACCAATACGGGCCACAGGTACTGCAGCCTGAAGGATCTGAACAGTGCTGTCTACAGCAGCCTGGACACTGGGGAATGCACAGGTGGCAGCCACTGTGGCCTCGGGTGCAGGGTGCAGGCGCAGGGTGGCAGATGTAATGATGCCCAGAGTCCCCTCAGAGCCCACAAACAGTCCTGTGAGGTTGTAGCCAGCAGCACTCTTCCTGGACCCAGGGGCATATAAAGTAGATGAGTGCCAAGGCCATGATGAATGATTTCTGTCCAGGAGCCTAAAGCTGGAAGCCAGGCCTGGGCTGGCCTCCTACAGCCCCAATTGCCATCAGTGTTTGTGGCTTCACAATCCAGACAGACCTTATACAGGGAGGACAAATCCCTGCACCATCAACTGCCCCCCCCACCCTCCAGTGCCCTCCTAAGTGTCACCCACCCACCCAGGAGGCCCTGGACCAAGGAAGGACAGGCAGTGCTCACCTGTAATGGCGGCCCTGGCCTGCAGTATGAAGAAGCCTCCCATCAGGCAGTACCACCTCCAGATTGATCACGTTGTCTCGCATGGTTCCATAGCGCACAGCATTGGTACCTGAGGCCCCGGTGGCCGCCATGCCACACAGAGAGGCATCTGCACCAGGGTCTGGAGGGAAAAGTGCTGGAGAGGGCAACTGGGGAGGCCCTTTCCTCTGGTGAAGAAATCGGGGTTTTCTGATGTCCCTAAAACAGCCCAGCACTGCCCATGAGCCCTTAGGACCCCCTGGAAAGTAGTCCCAGCCTTACCCACAGGAAACCAAAGGCCACTGTCACGCAGGTGGGTATTGAGAGCTTTACGGGTGACACCAGGCTCCACCACCACAGAGAAGTCTTCTGTATTCAATGCTATGATCCGGTCCATATGGGTCAGGTTGATGCACACGCCACCCTGGTGGCAGGGGTACCAAGAAGGCTAGCTGACCTAGGTCTCTAGGCCAGGAACAGCCCTCAGGACTCCACACCATGGTAGAGGCCCCAGCAGCCATACCAGAGCTCTGGAATGGCAGGTGGAGACAGTCACAAATGTGCCAAGTGTAGTGGGACCAGACCCAAGGCACCCCACTATACCTGCACAGCACAGACTCCTCCTTCAAGGCCAGTACCCGTACCAAACGGGATGATGGGGACATGTTGATTGTAGCACAGGGCTGCCAGTTGGCTAACCTGGTCCACATTCTGAGGCCACACCACAACATCAGGAGGTTGGCACCTAGAAGCAGGCAGAGGTTCAAAAAGCTGTGGCACCCCCTGGCCCTGCTCATTTCCAGGAACCTGCAGGTACCCCAGGGCCTGAGACTTCAGCAGATGAGGAGCAGAGAACACGCCTATGTATGGAGAATGCCAGAGCACCCCAAAACAGATGGCTAGAGACAAGGACAGCCCAGGACCCTCAGTCCCAGTAGGGGTTTCTGATACCTGTGCATTGACTCATCGTGTCCGTGTTGCTCTCGGACAGCAGGAGCAGTGGACACATGGGAGCTCCCTACAACTGCCTTCAGAGCCTCCACAAACCCCTGGCTGAGTCCACCCTGGAGGGAAGAAACACTGCAAGGGTCAGGGAAAGATAGCAGGGGGCCACAGCAGCCCTGTGGCAGGAGGGAAGGGAGGCGCTGGTCAGGTTACATGGTGGCGTCACACAGCCTGGATGACTTCAGACCAGGTTCCCCTCTCTCTGGACCCCGTCCATATGCCCATATATACCTGTGACCCCCTGGAGCAGTAACCCCTCCAGGGAGATAACCTCCAGGATGCAGCCCTGAGGAACATAGCCAAAACCAAACAGCAGCTAGGGTGAAAGTCCTGGAAGAGGAAGGAGGGGCAGCCTCCAGCCTGGCCCATCGGTTACATGGGTGGAGCCTGCTTTAAGGTGGAACCTGCTTAAGGTGGAGCCCGCTTAAGGTGGCTCCTGGCGCTCTTGCAGGGTCAACAGTCCTTAAGCAGTGTGGCTCCTCCCCAGACAAAAGAGAAAACAAGGCCAGCAGCCCCTGCCTGCCTTAAAAGTCTGTAATGGCTTCCTGTTGCCTTTTACTCCTTGTAAAGACTTTAAAGGTCCGGCTGGCTCCTGGGACTTCTCCATCTATCTTACTTCCTTCCAACCTCTTCTTTGACCTCCAGGCTCCAGCTTCTCTTTCCCATTCCAGAGCTCAGGCCAGGCTCTTGACCTTGGCCTGCGCCTTGCCCTACACCTGGAACCATCTCCTGAATCTGCCAAGCAGATTCTCCCTCACCCTGAAGTCTCAGCAGCAAGTCACAGGGTGGACTGCATCAGGTCCATGAGGAGGGAAATTCCCTGAGACCCCTCCAGGATGGAAGGGGGTGGCACAGTGCAGCACCCAGGAAGGCTTCCAGGAAGAGGTATTCTGAAGAAAAGCCAGGCACCTCCCTGAGGGCGGAGCCTAGGACTGCCCCAGAGTGACTTGTCTGCAACTCCCATAGCAAATTCAGAGAAACCTGTTGCTACCACTTGACATAAGCTACCCACAGCTTTGTTTTCCCCCCTTGAGTCAGGAATACCAACTCTTACCTGATTTTTTCCTTAAAAAAATTTTATAGCCAGGCGTGGTGGCACATGCCTTTAATCCTAGTACTTGGGAGGCAGAGGCAGGTGGATCTCTGTGAGTTCAAGGCCAGCCTGGTCTACGTAGTGAGTACCAGGCCAGCTGGGGCTACAGGGAGACCCTGTCTCAAAAAGACCAAAAAAAATTTTTTTAATTATTTTTATTTTATGTGTATGAGTATATATGTATACAAGTGCACCCATGTTGTGCAATGCCTGCGGATGTGAGACAAGGGTGTCAGATCCCCTGGAACTGGAGTTACAGACAGTTGTTAGCCACCATGTAGGCACCTGGGTCCCCTGCAAGGGCAGCCAGTGCTCTTAACCACTGAGCCATCTCTCCAGCCTGCTGATTCTCTCATTTGTTTCATTATTATTGTGTATATATGTATGATGTGAGGGGCACACATGCCACAGTAGGTGTCGGGAGGTCTGAGGCCAACTCTGTGGAGTTGATTCTCTCCTAATTCACCCAACCATGTTTGGATGAGTTAGTTAAAAAGAAAATGTTAAGGCTGGGAGTGGTGGCTGAGTGCTGGCCCTTAAACCCAGGAGGCAGAGCAAGCAGATCTCTGAGACTGAGGCCAGCCTAGTCTTTATGGTGAGTTCCAAGCCTGCAGGGGGTACAGGGAGACCCTGTCTCAAAAAGACCAAAATAGGAGTTGGAGAGATGGGTCAGTGGTTAAGAACACTGGTTATTCTTACAGAGGACCCAAGTTCAATTCCCAGCACCCATGTGGCAGCTAACAACCATACATAATTCCAGTTCCAAGGGAATCCAATGCCCTCTTTCTACCTCCTCGGACATTGCATGACATGGGTGCACTTACCTACATGCAGACAGTACACTCATAATAATTTTTTAAAAGCCAGGCATGGTGGCGCAGGCCTTTAACCCCAGCATTCGTGACGCAGAGGCAGGCGGATCTCTGTGAGTTCAAGGCCAGCCTCGTCTACATAGTGAGTTCCAGGACAGCTGGGGCTACCAGGAGACCCTGTCTCAAAAAGACCAAAAATAATAATAATATTTTTTAAAAGACCAAAATAAGTAAATAAATTACAACAAATTTAGTTATAGATCTAATTGTCTTTTATTCTCTATTCATGAATTGGGGCATCTCCAGTTCTTTTTTTTTTTTGGTCTTATTGAGACAGGGTCTCTCTGTAGCCCTAGCTGGCCTGGAACTCGCTATCTCACTACGTAGACCAGGCTGGCCTGGAACTCACAGAGCTCCGCCTGCCTCTGCCCCAAGTGCTGGGACTAAAGGTGTACAACACCACACCAAGATTCACCAGCCCTCTTCTAGCTGGCAACTTTCTTCTCAGGTAGACTGGAATCCCGTTTTCAGGAAAAGCTGCTCTGGCTTGGGATCTGATATATGCTTCGTTTTTATAAATTTTATTTATTATTTTACATGTATAAATGTATCGCCTGCATGTATGTGAGTGCACCCATGTCATGCAATACCTGGAGGTCAGAAGAGGGCTTTGGATTGCTCTGGAACTTGAATAAGGATGGTTCGCAGCCGCCATGAGGGTTCTGGGAATCGAACCCAGGTCCTCTGCAAGAGCAGTCAGTGCTTCCAACCGCTGAGCCATCTCTCCAGCCCCTCCTTTACGTTTCAAGTTGATTCTGTGGCATTTGGCTTGACCAACTCCATTTTGGTTTGTTTTGGTCTGTGTGTTAGTTACTTTGCTCACTGCTATGACAAAATACGGAACAGAAGCACATTGAAGAAGGAAGGATTTATTTTGGTTTAGTTTGAGAGGATAAACTCCATCCTGATAGTAGAGGATTGATTCCAGTCAGGAAGCAGAGAGTGAGACTGGTGCTCAGCTCTCTTCCTCCTTATAACTTGGGGAGGGGAGGGGGTTTATGTGGAGAGGTACATGTGTGTTCACATGCATGCAGAGGCCAGAGTTGATATCAAATATGTCCCTCAGTCACTCTCTACCTCTTTTTTTTCAGTGCCTCTCACTGAACCTGGAACTCACTGATTGGCTAGACCAGCTGGTCAGCAAGCCCCAGGGATCCTCTTGACTCTGCCTCCCTACTCCTGGGATTACCAGTATGCACCTTTGCACCTGAATTTCTTACCAGGGTTCTGGAGATTGCTCTCAAGTCTTCTTCATGCTTGTGTGGCACTTTACTGACTGAGCTGTCATCTCCCCAACTCCTTTTCATTTTTTTTTTCTTTTGGACAGGGGTCTCACTAGGTAGCCCTGGCTACCCTGTAATTAGCTATGTAGGCTGCGCGAGCCCCCAGCTCACAGAGATCTCCATGCCTCTGCCTCCCAAGTGCTGGGATTAAAGATGTACACCACCATGCCCAGCCTTTTACACTTTTTTTTCCTTTTCTCCTTCTTCCTCCTCCTCCCCCTCCTCCTGTCCTTCACCCCTTCCTCACCCTTTCTCTCCTTCCTTTCCTCCTTCTCCCCCCCACCTCCTCCTCCCTTCTTCTTCCTCCTCCTTCTTTTTTTGATACAGGGTATCCCTGTAGCCCCAGTTGGCCTGGAGCTGATTATGTAGACCAAACTGGCATCAATCTCATAGAGACCCCCCTGCCTCTGCCTCCCAAATGCTGGGATTAAAGGCTTGCACCACCACACCCAGCCCCCTTTTTACTTTTTATTCCCATTCTGAAAGAGAAAAAGGGGATATAACAAGGAAAGATCAGACCTAAGCAAGCCCAAAATCCAGCTGTGCATACTCAACCCTACAGCTCCATGCCCAGCATCTTGGTTTATGATGGAATAAATCATCTGTGCTCTAAAAAGCTTGGGGGAGCCCTTCCCTGTGGGAAACCAGGATGCCAGGCCCTAGGGTGAGGTGAGCCTAAAACTTTTAAGTCCAGGCTGCATTCTCTGCTAAAGGGAGGGGCGCTGAAAACAGTGGCTCTGATAATCCCTGTCTTGCAGAACACTGCCAGACTGGCAGGAGAAAGCGGCCTGGTCATAAGTGCAGGCTCCCTGCTCTGTGGGAAAGTGTCTTGGTCAACAACCCTTAGCTCATCTCCTTATCCTGAACAAATAACTCAGCTATCCCTGGCTAAGAGATTACGCCAGGTTAAAGGCTTACTCCTGAGCTAAGAACTAAAAGTTCACATGCTTTTAGGTCTAAGAAAGAAAACATTATGGCCAATAAATTACCAGATGGGCATTGATAACCTTGAGTAAAAGTTTAAGAATCCTTCTGGCGCCAACTAACAGACTAAATGTCCTGTTTCTTTGTACCCTAACTCTTTGTATATGACTGCCATATCCCACGTGACTGCTAGTTCCTTGGGATGTACAAAAACCATCTGAATTATAAAATAAATTGGCTTGATCCTGTGAGCTAAGCTGATAAATTTCTATACATATTCAAAAATAAATAAATAAATAAATAAATTGGCTTATAGGAAAGATACAAGTCCCAGGGTCTAAGACTCTGTTGTCGATCAAGTCCTCTGCCCTGAAGCCAGTAGGTCCCCCGCTAAGCAAAGTAAACCTGAGTCCCGACACTTTCCCTCCAGTTCCAATACTTACAGCACACATCATCTCTCACTTGAGCAACCTCAACTTCGTGTCTACAGCTTTCCTCAGCAGATGGCCCCTGGTATCTGTCACCAATGTCCTGGTGTCTCCATTACAATTTAAGCTTTACCTTCACAGTTTCATGCATTGACCTCTCAGGGCTCCTTGAGGGAATCAGACCCTGCTACTATCATCTGACCTCAATGGTTTTCAGGAACCTTGGTGCAAACCTCTGTGACCCTTAACTCCTTCATTTTGAGTGGCTGCAAAGTCTTTGCCATGTGGACAACGCTACCAAGTTCTGCTGCCAGTTCATGACGACTTGACCCTCTTCTACCGTTGCTGTAGTGGCCTTTGTGTGCCCCAGCAGCTGAATCTGGGAATACACTTCCCTAGGCATCTATTTTCAAACCCTTCCCCAGCATTCTCAGTTCAGTTTCTCTCCTTTCAAATTAATTTGCGTTTTTACAAGCTGGAACCTTCTATGGGTGGGGTCTTGCCCTCAAGATACCTTTCCTCTTGTCCCAGTGCTAAATGCAGCTTCTCTTTAATTGCATTAATCTCTTTAATAATTACAAATTATTTCTCTGCACCTTCCTTGTCTACAACTTTAAACTTGTTCATACTTGTTTCCTCCCCAACCTTCACATTTCTCATATCTTTCTACTGCATCTACTGCTTCTTTTCACTATAAATATGGATAAGAGCAGTGGGCTAGTGTGCTGGATAGCTTTGGGGGTCAATGTGAGGCACCTGGGTAGAGGAAACCTAAAATGAGGGATTTGGGTTGGCCTGTGGCCATGTGTGTGGGGCATTTTCTTATTGTTGAGTGATGTGGGAGGATCCAGTCCACTGTGGGTACCACACCTGGGCAGGTGGTCCTGGGTTGTATAAAACAGCAGATTGACCTGGGCAGGGTGGCACATGCCTTTAAACCCAGCACTTGGGAGTCAGAAACAGGCAGATCTCTGTGAGTTTGAGGTCAGCCTGGTTTACATAGTGAGTTCCAGGCCAGCTGGGCCCTACAGGGAGACCCTGTCTCAAAAAGACCAAAAAAGAAAGAGAGGGAGGGAGGGAGAGAGGGAGGGAGGGAGGGGAGGGAGAGAGAGAGAAAAAGAAAAGAAAGAAAGATCGAGGGACTGGAAATATGGCTCAGCAGTTAAGAGCACTGGATGCTCTTGCAGAGGACCTGGGTTCGAGTCCCAGAACTTCTGATCTCCTCGGGCATTGCATGACTCAGGTACACTTACACACATACAGGCAATACACTCATACACATAAAAATAATTTTTTTAAAAAAAGGCAGATTGCGCACAGGGGAGCAAGCCAGTAAGCAGTGTTTCTCCATCGTCTGTGCTTCAGGTTCTTGTCCTGAGTTCCTGCTTTCGCTTCCCTTGATGATGGACTGTGCCAAAGAAACCATTTCCTCCCCAAGTTGGTTTTGGTCAGTGTTTTTTTTTTTTTTTTTTTTTATCACAGTAGAGAACTAGTAACCATGACAGAAACAGACTGCCATGCTCTCTGAAATTTCCTCCACTATTCAAAGTAGCTTATTTCTTTTGAACTCAGCCTCTCAAGTTCTCAGAACACAGGCAAAATGCAGATAGATTCTTTGCCAGAATATAATGTGTGTAATCTAATTGAATCCTCATAACCATCTGAAACCTCATGAGCTAGAACTTCACTGCCCACATTTCTCTCCACACTCTGGTCTTCCACACTCCTGTCAGAATGGTTCATTAAGCCCTGCTTATAACATCCTATGTCATTGCTAGCTCACAGGTCCAGACTTTTCCAAATTCCTCCCACCAACCAACAGCAAAGGTCTACAACTACATGGTGAGGTAGTGATAGCAATGGCCCTACTTAATCCCGAGTGCTCAGATTAAAGACACCACTACACCCAACCAGGACTTTTGAGACTTTGTGTTTTTAATTATGTGTGTATATGTGTGGGTATGTGCATGCGAGTGCAGTGCCCACGGAGGCTGTTAGAATTGAGGATGAGAAGGCAATATGAGAATAAAGAAAAAGGAAGCTAATCTGACCTCAACAGATGCAGACCGCTCTTTTAGCTACCAGGGCCATGAAACCTTCCCTCAGGAATGGAAGTTGTGTGTCAGGTTTGGGGGAGGTCTAGGATTTATAGGTGGACCCAGAAAACCCCAGAAAGGGGGTCATGCTTTCCTGAATCCCAGAAGGCGAGGTATGCCTTCTTGGGTGGTGTCAGGCTCCTTCCTGGGATCTGGGAAGGAGAGCTGGGGAGTTCTCATAGGGGAACCAGGTGTCTTCTGTAAGGTGGTTGGTAAGGAACCAGATCTGCAAGGAAGCTGATGAGGAACCACATGTCTTATGATAAGGAGCCAGATGTCTAGGCTAGAGGCTGTATGTTCTGAGATGTATCTCCCCACTGGAGTGGGGAGGCAGGGTAGGCAGATGGTTAGTTCATTCAGTCATTTGTCTGGCTGATTTTCATTCAGAGGTCAGAAGAGTGTAATAGATCCCCTGAAGCTGGAGTTACAGGTGGCTGTGAGCTGCCCAAAATGGGTGCTGGGAACTGAACTTGAATCCTCTTCAGGAATGGTATACTCTCTTGAACCACTGAGCCACCTCTCCATCTCCAAAATTTAGAATCTTTGGCTCAGTAGGATAATGGGTCTATAGCAGTGACAAAAATCAAAACTTCAGACATTTAAAAATCTGTGTTTGTGTCTGTATGTGTACTGACATTTTTATGTGGGTGCCCATGGAGGCGTGAAGGGATGTCAGATCTCCTGGAGTTAAGAGTTACAAGTGCTCCTGAGTCACCTGATGTAGGTGATAGGGATGAAACCCAACACTTGCTGCTTTTAACAGCTGAGCCATCGCTGCAGCCCCATAGACTTCAGGCATATTTAGTACAATGCACTAAAATCACTTTAAAATATTGCTAATGGGGGCTGGAGAGATAGATGGCTCAGCGGTTAAGAACACTGACTGTTCTTGCAGAATACCTGGGTTTGAATCCCAATGCCCACATGACAGCTAACAACTGTCTGTAATTCCAGTTCCAGGGGATCTGACAGCCTCTTCTGTCCTCCGTTGGCATTGTGCAACACAGGCACACTTACATACATGCAGGCAATACACGCATACACATTAAAAAAAAAACACACTGACTGTTCTTGCAGAAGACCCGGGTTCAAATCCCAGCACCCACATGGCAGCTAACAACTGCCTGTAACTCCAGTTCCAGGGGATCCAACAGCCTCCTCTGTCCTCTGAGGGCATTGCATGACATGGGTGCACTTACCCACATGCAGGCATAACACTCATACATACAAAATAAAAATAATAAAATATTAAAAAACTAAAAAATAAAGTGTTGCTTATGAAGTGGCCATTTAAAAGACTTTAATATAAACAGATACTTAAGTGAGCCTTGACTTTGCTAAAATAGTTTCCTTAGTCAAAAGTCTAACAAAATTTACAGAAAACAAACATTGTTAGTAACTGAAAGTTCTCAGATGTATTTTTTAAATTTTTTAATTTTTAAAATTTTTTTGGTCTTTTGAAACAGAATCTCCCTGTAGCCCCAGCTGGCCTGGAACTCACTATGTAGACCAGGCTGGCCTCGAACTTGCAAAGATCCGCCTGCCTCTGCCTCTCAAGTGCTGGGTTTCATCCCTATGCCTAATCTTAACAGATGGCCTTTTCATCCTCAATTCTAGACTACCTCATTAATCCAAGGTCAACAGTCCTTCCAGTCTCCACAGTGTGCAGTGGAGATGGGGCACCATCTTAAAGCACTTAATATGTTAATTCTCAAGCATACATTCATTCATTCACTCTTTTTGGGTGGAGTACCAAATTGAAGTTGACTAGGGCACAGGATCAATTGCAAAGGTCACAAGACACAAGATTTTCCTGGGGTTAACAGTTGTTAGTCCAGAAAGGTGATTGTTATATGATTGTCTTTAAAAGTGAGATTATGAAGCCAAGCGTGGTGGTGCACGCTGTTAATCCCAGCACTCGAGAGGCAGAGGCAGGTGGATCTCCGTGAGTTCAAGGCCAGCCTGGTCTACATAGTGAGTTCCAGGCCAGCTGGGGCTACAGGGAGACCCTGTCTCAATAAGACCAAAAAAAAAAAAAAAAAAAAGTGAGATTATGGGTGACACTTGCTTTACTATGCATATTTTCTAATTCAAATCGGTTTAAATAGATTACTCGAGTAATTTTTAAAAGCTAGGTATTTATTTTTTTGTATTTTTGAGTCAAGGTTTCACTGTGTAGCCCTGGTCTTGAACTCACAGAGATTCCCCCTGCCTCTGCCTCCCAAGTGCTGGGATTTTGAAAGGCCACCATGCCTGGCTAAAAGCTCAGAGGTATCTTGGGAAGAGCTCAACTCACTTTTTTTTTTGAGACAGGGTCTCCCTGTAGCTTCAGGGGCCTGCAACACGCTATATAGACCAGGCTGGCCCGGATCTTATAGAGATCCACCTGCTTCTGCCTGAACCACCACGCCTGGCTTCAATTCACTTTATAAATATGTAGTAGACTTTCTATGGCGTCCCTAACAGCACGGCCCGGAGGCTTATGGGAATTGTAGTCCGGAGGCCCGCATGGCTCACTCCAAGGACGCTGGGAACGCCAAGAAGCTCTTCAGTTTGCGCATGTGCAGTCCGGCGAGCGCGTCCGCAGCCGCCCTTCCCCCCCACCGGTAGTGGCGAGTGGGTGAGTGGGCCCCCTTCTCTGCGACTCTGCCGCCCCGCCCCGTGACGCGGCCTGGCCCGGAGCCGCGAGTGGAGGCTGCACCCCTCCAGGTACAAGGGGCGCTAACCCGCAGTCTGTGCGGCGTGAGGCGGGCGGGGACGGATGGGGTCCGCGCCGGGGTGAGGCGCCCTAACGTCTGAGCCTCTGGGGCAGCGCGACCCTCACCGCAGGGTGCGGCCCGGCGTCCTCCTCCGAGCCGGGCCCCGTGGGCTGCACCCGGACAGGTGTGCGGGAACGGCGGAGGAGAGGGCGGCTGCCAGGGCCCGCTCGCCTCCTTTTGTGAGACTTGCGCCTCCGAGGGCCGTCTAGGGGTTCAGGCCGCGCGGGAGCGAGTTCCGAAGTCGGGCGCGCGCGGGGCGGGGGCGTGGCCACCGATGCAGGGGCGGGGCCAGCAGTGTAGGCCCCGCCCCCGCTCTCTCTCTGAAGACCCTGGCCTGGCTGGGTGGAGCCAGCTGGGATATCCTGGTGGCCCAAAGGATGCGCACTGGATTTCCAGTTATAGAGTCCGGGAATTTCCCATCTACCCCGTCATTTCCGGCCTGAGTTTCAGCATCAGTGGAAGGTCTCAGCAGGGGGAACTGAGTCACCTAGGGGAGCTGAAGTGTCTTCCTACGTTTGCCTTTTGAATCTCTCATGGTTGAATTTACTGCTTTTATCTCTTTTTGAGATAGAGTCTCCCTGTAGCCCCCGCTGGCCTGGAACTCACTATGTACACCAGGCTATCCTTGAACTCACAGAGATCCTCCTGCCTCTGCCTCCAGAGTGCTGGGATTAAAGGCGTACTACAGCTGGGCTTTTTGTTTTGTTTTGTTTCTTATGGTAGTCAGAATCTTTTACAATTTTAGATTGTAGTTCCGTGGTAGAACGCATGACCAGCATGCTTGAGGCTCTGGGTATTTCGATTCTCAGAACCAGAAAAAAGAAAACATTTTTTTTCACCATGGTTCTTGTATCTTAGAATTAATTCTGCTTTTTAGCTGTTGATACTTTTTATTGTGACCACATTAATGGTTAAATTAGGGGGTGCCATTAAGTCATCTCAGAGGAGCTTAATTTCAGTCTTGTTGTAGGTGCTGTCCCAATGCAGAGGGGAGAAACTGGAATCATTTTTCTCATTTCTTTTAGTTCTAAGATGGCCCTCTCTCAGTAGCTCAGGTTGGCCTAGAGCTTGCCATGTAGTTCAGACTAGCCTTGAACTTGATCAACTTGAACCTTAACCTCCTGAGTGCTGGCTTCATCTGTTTTCTTTCTTTTTTAAAAGAAACTATTGTTTTTATTTATGTGTATGAGTTTAATGCCACTGACATACATGTTGGTTCCATAACTTACCTATTGGGAATAATGCTGCAGAGAACATTAATGTGTAAGTATGTCTGTGATCTGGGAGTCCTGTGGGTAAAAACTCAGGAATGATATAGCTCTCCTGTTTTTTGAGAAACCTCCTATGACTTCAGAATGGCTGGAGTACTGTGTATTCCCCAGCAGTATAGAATGGTTCCTTTTTGCCCACATGCTTGCCAGCATTTCTTGTTTTCCTAATGACTGACATTCCCATTGGGTTAAAATAGAATCTCAATGTAGTTTCATTTTGTATCTCTCTCATAGGGTGAGGTAGAATATTTTTAATTCCCCATTTATATTTAATGTTTTTAAGAAGTATCTTTTTTTAAAAAATACTGATTGAAGCATTTCATACAATGTATTTTGATCATATTCAGGACACCCCCCCATTCTCCACAGCTTACCACCCCCTCTCCCTCACTTCATCTCCTCTATTAGCAATTGAAAAACCATCCATCTTAGAAAATACATCAAAACTGGGTGGAAAAGTGTTCACACCTCACTAGAATGTCAGTAATCTGCAGTTCTTACAGGTTAGCCAAAGGCCCCTCCCTTTCCTTTGTACTTGGTTTGGGGTTAGAATACACCCAGGTTTCTTGGAATGGAATTTTCTATCTTTTTTTTTTTTTGTACAAAGACGTTATTGAGAATTTCATACCTACACATAAAGTGTTTTGATCAAATCCATGCCCACTCCCTCCCCTCCAATATCCCTGCCCCTCTGAAGAGGTAACCCTAAAATCTTTTAAGGGTTAGTTACAAGCTCCCAAATACTTGTGACAATTTTTGGCCTTGGAACAGAGTATGTTGCTAACAGATCCAAGGACATTTTGACTTTTAGCCAAGAAACTGGCTACATGTCTTTTTACCCTAAATGCATAGCAAGTTCCTACCTCCTGTTCTTATCACGCCATCCTCTGAAGGTGTTACCCAAATTGCCAATAGAGAATAGGGACACCGACAACTCTGGCTTCTTCCGTGCTGAACAGGGACACAGGGTACCCTGGAGTACCCCTTCAGTGGGTCTACCTAAAAGACTCCCAAATTACATAACTTTTGTCTCTAAGGGGAGAAGAAAGTCCTTGAATCATGAATGGGAGATGTGAAGGAGAAGTAAAGGCAGGAGTACTTAGCATTATAAGTTCTAGACAGGGAACTAGAAAAAAGTCAGAGTGGGGCAGTTTTTAAATTTTCATGAGAGTGCATTGGAGTTTCTTGACAAGGGCTTCCAAAAGCATCCCTCTATTGGGTTCTTCCTCATTTTTCTTTGTCTTCCAAGGCTGGACTAGTTGGCTGGAAAGAGTGGCTGGATATTCAGGTGAGGGTCCAGTGACCCTGCTTGGCACTCCTTTAATGAATGAGTACAATAGTCAACAAGCCCAGTTGTGAGTATGTTTAGCAATCAGGCTCGACTGAAGTCATGATGATGGTAGTTGTTTCATGCAGAAGGGACTGCTGTATATCATCATCTTATTAAAAGGACCTGAAATTTAAACGGATTTGGTGCTAGGAGCCACATATGAGGGAGAACATACCTCATATGTTTATTTTCCGAGTCTGTTACTTCACTTAGTATAACAGTTTCTAGATCCATCCATTTACCTGCAAATTTCATTATTTCATCTTTCTTTACTGCTGAATAGAATGCCATTGTGTAAATATGCCACATTTTTGTTAACCACTCGTCAGTTGAGGAACACTTGGGTTGCTTCCATCTCTTACCTATTGTGAAAAGAGCAGCAACAAACATGGTTGTACAAGTGTCTCTACAGTAGGATGAGTCCTTTGGGTATATGCCAAGGAGTGGTATAATCGGGTCATATGGTAGGTTCAATTTTAGTTTTTTAAGACTTCACACTGTTTTCCATAGAGGTTCCACGAGTTTGCAATCCCACCAGCAGTGAATGAGTGTTCCCCTTTATCCACATCCTCACCAGGATTTGGTATCATTTGTTCTCTTGATCCTAGCCAGTCTGATTGGGGTAAGGTGATACCTTAGGGTGGTTTTAATTTGCATTTCCCTAATTACTATCGATGTTGAACACTTTTTGAGTTGTTTCTTAGCCATCTTTATTTCTTCCTTTGAGAACTCTGTTTAGATCTTTAGCTCATCTTTTAATTGGGTCATTTGGTTTCTTGATTCTTTGTTTTTTGAGTTCTTTATAGCATCATCTTCTGAAAGGACCAGGAATTAATGAGGTCCCACTTGCTGACCTTAATTCCTGAGCAACTTCTGTCTGATTTAGAAAATCCTATCCAGCCAGGTGTGGTGGCGCAAGCCTTTAATCCCAGCACTCCGGAGGCAGAGACAGGCGGCTCTCTGTGAGTTCAAGGCCAGCCTGGTCTACATAGTTCCACGACACCTGGGGCTACAGGGAGACCCTGTCTCAAAAAGACCAAAAAAAAAAAAAAAAATCCTTTCCTGCACCTATATCCTGTAAGTTACTGCCAGTATATTGTTCTAATAGTTGCAGGGTTTCCAGTTTCACATTGAGGTCTTTGAGTCATTTGGAGTTGACTTTTGTGTAAGGCGAAAGGCAAGGATCTAGTTTCATTCTTCTATAGGTGGAGATCCAGTTTTGCCAGCACCATTTGTTGAAGATGCTGTCTTTCCTCCATTGTGTGTTCTTGGCACCTTTGTCAAATATCAGGTAGCTGAAATTCTCTTGGCACCTTTGCCAAATATCAGGTGGCTGGAATTGTGTGTACTCGGGTTTGAATCTTCAGTGGTGTTCCATTGATCTATGTGTCTATTTTTGTGCCAGTACTATGCTGTTTTTAAGACTATAGCTCTGTAGTGTACTTTGAGATCTGGTATAGTAATCCCCCCAGCGTTGCTCTTTGTACTCACGGTTGCTTTGGCTATCTGGGGTCTTTTGTGCTTCCATATGAATTTAAGGATTTTTTTTTAATTCTGTGAAGTATGTCATGGGGGTTTTGAGTAGGATTGCATTGAATCTATATATTGCTTTTGATAGGATGGTCATTTTAACAATATTAATTCTTTCAACCCATGAACATGGGAAGTCCTTCCATCTCCTGATCCTGGTGTCTTCCTCAATCTCTTTCTTTAACAATTTAAAATTTTCACTGTAGAGATCTTTGAAGTCTTTCATCAGATTTATTCCAAGATATTTTAATTTTTTGTAGCAATTGTGAATGGGAATATTTCCCTGTATTCTTTCTCCAATTGCTTATTTTTGGTATATAGAAAGGTGACTGATTTTTGTAGATTGATTTTATAACTTGCCACTATACTGAAAGTGTTGATCAGTTCTAGGAGTTTTCTGGTAGAATTTTTGGGATCTCTTAGGTATAGGATCATATTATCTGCAAAAAGGGATCGTTTGACCTCTTCTTTTCCAATTAGTACTCCTTTAATTTCCTCCTCCTGTCTTATTGCTCTAGCAAGAGTTTCAAGCACTGTGTTGGAAAGGAGTGGAGATAGTGGACATCCTTAACCTGTTTGTTTCCTGATTTCAATGGGAATGCTTCCAGTTTTTCTCCATTTAGAATGATGTTGGCTGTGGGTTTATTGTATATGGCTCTCATTACCTTGAGGTATGTTACCTCCGATGCAATTCCCTGTAGGACTTTGACCCTAAATGCATGTTGAATTTTGTCAGAGTCCCTCTCTACATGTTATTGAGATGACGGTGTGGTTCTTGTCGTGTCCATTCGTATGATTTATGGTGTTTGTTGACTGGTG